TTTATAATCTATCATATCTTTACGATTGATACAAGATATTGCTAATAACCTAAATTCTGATGAGCTAGTTGAGCTAGTTGATCTATCTGACACGGCAACGAACCACATAAATATGTTTTCATGCTCATTCTTGATCAAATTTAATTGTGTTTCAGTAAATTTAAATCTGGAAGGAATGTTGAAAAGTTTCCTGTACGATAATTTCTGGTCATCTAGATCTGACTCATTATTTAGTTTCAAGCCATCCGTTTGTTCCGAGCCGTTGTATGATGTTAATCCATCTTCATTATTCAAATTTTTAATATGATACATTTGTAATTTGAATTCTAAAGATTTTGATGCTTATTAATAGTACAAATCATCTAATTAAATAGTTTATTTTGTAAAGCATTTACCAAGATTTTTCACTATAAATTCAACTAGAAAGTCGCCTTCCGGACTAATTGCAAGATACTTTTTAGGTTCCTCATTGAGTTTCTTTTCATCTTCTTTGATTTCAGATTCATCTATTTTGACTTCAGGTTTCTTTTCTTCGGTTTTGACATCGACAATAAAGTCTTCACTTCGGCTAGTTGATGCTGACATAATATAATTTGTTCCTTATTATTTTTGAATTTCAACGATCAATTATTACCAATTAATGAACTGAATAAGAAAAGCAAAAATTTTTTTATTTAAAATATCTTAGGCCATACCAACTTAATAAATTGGTTCTCATAACCCGGCCGGGTCAAATTTACAAACCTTTAAAAAAATTTTTTAAGTATATTTACTATCCGGGTGGGTTTTTCTAAAAAATTTATAAAAAATTTTATATATTTTTTATATATAAAATTTTTTGAAAGTAAAATTAAAAGCCGGGTTGCCGGGTCACTTTCAAAAATTTTATGTTATGAGAACCAAAAAATTAACTTGGCCTGGCCTTATGTGGCTTAAATTGTTTGAATATTTATTTACTATGGCTCAACAAATCAATATTTTTGTTTTATTTATTAACGTTAATACTCAATTTGTTATTGCTATTGCTATGTAGAATTTTATTTTAATATTAATTTTTTTTGTTTCCGGGTCTTTTGATGCCTAATATTATATTACTAATAATATCTATAAATCTAACTTTAAATTAAATTCATCGTTCATTTCAAACATTCGATTTATCAAATTTTCCATATTATAATCCATATTTCCAAACCAATTATAGGCTTTAGTTCAGAAAGACAGATTTCGACGACTCTTCTATCTTTAAAACAAGGATCTCTCCATATTATTGGTACAATAATTCTACACCATCTGCGGTTTACAAGAAGGCATGAAAATAAGGTTTTGTAATTACTATTTAGGCTTTCAAATATTTCTAAGAGGATTTCGTTCGATAAACGTGTGATAGAATACATTCTTTATAGAAAAATGGTTAGTTTAAAGGTTAAGAATTTCCGTTGGAAATCTTTATAACAATATACTGTAATTCTAAAGTTTGGTTTGCTTTTTATTAAAAAAGTTTTTCATCATACTGTATAAATTGGGTTCACAAAATATATGGAGATGTGAGCCATTATTCACTGAATATAAATTTATTTGCTATTGAATATCACTGGATTTTATTAAGTAAATTTATATTTAGTGAATAACGGGTCACGTCTTTAATTATATCGATATCATTAAAAAATTACTGTGCTAATATAAAAACTACTCTAATTTAAAATAAGCAGTTACTAGTTTTAGTACATACAGTATTAGAATAATAACATATAAAATAGTATAATTTCCCGTTCTATTTTAATTAAGTAATCTAACCAGGTGGACTAGAATTTATGCTGTACTGTATCATAGGGATAGGAATCGATTTAGTCTACTAAAAAATTTATATGTAAATTACTATGTTTAGTCGATTTAGTCGACTAAATCATGAGCCGACTCCTATCCCTACTGCTGTACTGTATCACATTTTTTAATGTACCGACTAGAGTTGTTGGTGAAACTAATCTTCAATGGTGCACCGAAACTGGTGCACCGATAATGAACTAGAGTTATAAATAAAACTAATCTTTAATGGTGCACCGGTTTGCTGGTGAAATTAATTAGTTTCACCAATAACTCTAGTACCGACTAACTAGTTAAACTAGCTACACAAATACAATATTTATTTAAAAAAAGCCGTGTAGCCAATCAAATAGAAACGTGATCACAAACCTATCCATTTTGGTGTGAAAGTAAAAGGGTTGTCAATAAAGAGCTCGTTATAATAAAAATCCACAAACAACTCAAAAGAGATAAATACATATAATGTAATTACCATACTATTGTGTGTGTGTAATCAACAAAATTCACCAATTCAAGAACAATTCGTGGTCTTCTCAAATTTGTAATTTTAATGAACATATTTAGCGAATATTTAGCGAATATTTAGCGATAGATAAGTTATTAATAGAGTAAGGTTTTCGTGCAATCAGATGGTGATTGTATAATCTAAGTATGTATTTTGAACTTAGTTCATTTCATTTGTAAAAAAATATATAAACATGTATAGTTCTTTTATTTATTTTTAAATGATAAGCTCCTTCTAATAATATTTGTATATGCAACGCTTTTTTCCTCCTAATTAAA